TTGTCTGTCATTGTAGCTGGGAAAATTTTACTTATTAAAGCTCATAATCTTACCACTTGAAACATCACTAGCCCTGAAGCTGCTGGTAGACATTGCGGTTGGAATTATCAAAAGTTTTTGACACCTGAGAGACACCGTAGCAACTCCTTTGTGTTTGGAAGCAGGGGGTGGGGGTGGGGGGAGGACCAGGGAGGATGATTCAACCACTCAACCACTTGATGTCGCTGAAAACAACAAATCCTATACACTGTGCCTTTAAACTCTGCCTCTAACATATGAAGGGCTTTTGAGATAAGTTTTCTTTTTCATATTGTGCTCCATTTTCTATAAAACACTGCAAAATCCTTTAGTAAGTAAACCAGAAATAGATGAAGTAGGACCTAATCAGTAGGTATTTTTGCACTACAAGGCCCGGCCTGGGTTCAAGTCCAGGTTAAGTGTTTTTGCATTAGCTCTTACGGCCGCAGTTCCACAACAATTCCTGGAACCTGGAAACYTGTGGTTCTATTTGGGCCAGCCTGGCGGGGCTGGGGGTGTTTACTTCACACAGATGAGATTAATTTTACATGAATCATTTGCATTACTAGTCCCATTTAGTTTTAACTTTTCACATGAGTTCAACTAAATGGGCCTAGTAACAAGTATTCAATGTTTCAGTCTCACCTGATCCAGAGTAGTCTGGGACACAGAATAGTCCTCTAAGTTTAGCCTCTGCTGGTGGCGGGTGAAGTGGCTGAAGATGTTGGCCAGAGCTCCTGGTGCGTGTGGAAGCTGGTACTGGAGTGTGTTGTGGTGACTCTCCTTGAGAACGCTGCCTGGGAACGTCTGCCGGATAAAGTCCTCGACGGGCTTGAGTTCGGGAGGGGACCCGGCGACCCGGACGATCACCGTGTAGCCGTCGCCAAATCTGGAAGAGAGGGAGCAGGTGAGCCACGTGCAGCTGTGAACTGCTCAACGCCTTTGCTGCACGGAYATAAATAAATATTTTCCAGTTCAAATTGGAACAAGACCCAAAACAAACAGTTGAGCTGAAGGTAAAAGGAGGCATCAATGTGAGTAAAGTTGGAAAACACAAAGCCGAAAAAAAAAATTTGAACAAAGACGTGTTATTTCAGAAAACATTCTCCTGGATTAAACAGGAAGGACAACAAATGTGTTGTTTCAAAGCAACACCCATGAAAGTTTAAGCTTTAGGCATTTTGAGAGATCAGATGTTACCTTGGTTGTTCAGAGAAAGTCACATATGAGGCCAAATTTATTTCTCACGGTAATCTCAGTTCAGCAGTGTTTTCCTATTAGTTCATAGATTGGATATTAGCATTCAGCTGCTGACAACTGCAACTAGACAACTACAGTGTTTTACTCAGGAAATCGAGGGGAACAGAACAGAAGGGATAAAAATGTGAGAACTGACAACAACCAAAACAACAACTCCAACATTATTTTTTGATATGTCAGGTCATTGTATCATACAAGTAAAGCATGTATATATA